AAGGTAATGATACTATGGTTTTTATCTTTTGCTCAATGTACACTTGATAATGTGGTTTTTGGAAGATGTTGTTTCTCATCTCAGTATATCCTGGAATGTTCTGATGGAGCTACTTAAAGAGGAGGATTATGATATAATGGGATCTGGTGCTTCTCACTTCTTATAAATCTAAAAGTGAGGAGCTTCCTGCTCACCTTGCCTGAATAATGATCTTAACCAAGCTACAGTGGTCCCAGCAAGTGAGGGTTTCTCCTCCTACTTTGCTTCAGGCTCCACCTCCAATGAAGGGCGTAACCCAAAGATCAATGAAATCACACAGACCCATGCAGGTCCAGAACCAAAGGGCTGAGCAGGAGACCTCCTCCCCATCCTCTTACAAATCTGAAGTCAATTTTTAAGGGAAACAAACATGTTTTCAAGCTTCTTTCTCTATTGCTCTTCTCCACCTTAGCAGAAACCTGACTTTCTCCTAGACAACTTCCTTTTCCCAGCTCTTTCACGGACAGGTCCTGCTCTCTTTACTTGTCTCTCAGGGTGCGAGGCAGCAGTGATGTTTTCCTCAATTCTAGTTACAACACCCACACCATAGTCCATTATTTCACCCACCTCTGGCAACTTCCTTCCTCCGTTCAGTCCATGCCAATCACTCATCATTTCAAATCAGTTAAACACTGTACCAATGTGATTTGGCGTTTTCAGTCCCAGAGTTTTCTTCCTACACTATGTAGCATCTTCAATACCTCTGAAAAGTTGCTATTTTTGCAGAACACCACTGGCTCTTATTTACCAATCTCTATTCTAATAAATTGTACAGTGGAGTTATGCATTACAAATTTGGTGGTACATTATCCTCACTTGGGGAGTATTAAAAAATATCTCAAAATCTAGGCTTTTAAATTATGCTTGCCTCTTTCTTTTTTTCTTTCTTTTCCTTCCTTCCTTCTTCCCTCCCTCCTCCTTCCCTCCCTCCCATTTTCTTTCTTTCTTTTCTTTCTTTCTTTCTTTCTTTCTTTCTTTCTTTCTTTCTTTCTTTCTTTCTTTCTTTCTGTATCTCAGGTGGGGATTACATTGTACAGCTGAAGTTAGGAACCTGCCTAAACTAGCTCCAGCTCCTGGATGCCATCCTATTCTCAAAGGCTACCAATTTACTCCTTGTTTCATTGCCTTTTCATCCTACTTGGGCCCTAGGGTCATTCATTCCAACCAGGTTGTTGCCCAATTGCTAATCTCCAATCTCCAGGGGGAATGTAATTTGCTAGAGAAAAACAACTAACAATTCTGATTCAGAATTTCTAACTCCACTTGACTCCTCAGTGCCACTCAGCAGTTGTCCAAGCTGGCTTACTATATTTATTTCTCACAGTGATCGTTCCAAACTCTTCTCACTGCCCTCCAATCCCTAACTCATCTCTTACAGCCTTCTCTAGCACTCATCACAGTGTTTGCATCTCTGAAAGAAACTCTTCCTGTATACATGCATTTCTTAGTGCTCCCAGGGTTTAATTGTGCTACATTAAGCTTAAATTGTGCAACTCTGCTGCAATTTTAAAACTATTTGAAGATAAAAAGCAAAACAAAAAACATGAAGCTTCTGGATCCCTCCAACTAGCACCTTATTTCTTTCTTTTCGTTAAGGGGCAAATGCTTTTTAAAAAGATGTATTATACATACTGTTTCCACTTTCTTACTTTGGATGTGCTTTACCAAAACCACAGTGGATATTTTCAGCAATGGCACCAAGCTGGCAAATTTGCGAGCTCTTTCCATGGTATTTGATACAGCTGACCACTCTCTCTTTGCAGCACACTTTGGCTTTTAGGATACAAAACTATCCAGGTTTTCCTTCTTCATCCATGACTCTACCTTCTCAGTCCAATTTCTCAATGCTGAAATGCTTTAGGCTTCAGTCCTGGGCCCTTCTCTTCTTCCTTTTCATAACATCTCCCCAGGTAATCTTATTAATATTATCTATATATCAGTGACTGCTAAATTTATATCTCAAACCCAGATCTGTTTTCAGAGCTCCACACTCATACCTCTAGATACTTAATACTGGCAATAGATGCCTCAAAATTAAACTCTTGTTATTACCTCTGTGAGTTCTTCCATTTTATCTATCCTTCCCATTAAATGGTTCTTCCATCCTTTTTCACCCCCTCTAGTTGCTCATATGAGAAACTCTGGTGTCATTTAAGAAGGGGTTCTTTTATTATCTACCAGATCCAATCTCTGATGAAGTACAAAACATAAACCTAGAAAGAGAATTCCATTTTTCTCCATTGACTGCCCCCACTCTGATCTTTTGCCTAGACTACAGCGATAGTCTCTTAGTATCTCATCTTGCCTCTCCAGCCCATTCTCCAAAAACTAACCACAGTGACCACTGGGAAAGAAGGCAAGCATAATTTAAGAGCCTACTTCAATTATACCAGTTACTTGTTTAAATTTCTTTCTTTGCTTCCCACTTCCTACAGGCTATTCCCACATATACTAATAAGACTAACCACATACTTTGTGACTGGGGTCTCTGCCTATCCATCTCACCAGTGCTTACCATATTAAGGGTCTTGACTTTCTCTCCATCTCTCAAATGCAATATGTTCTTTGCTTATCTCAGAACATCTTTCTAAAATTTTTTCCCTGCCCATAAGTTCACTGTGAAGTAGGCTAGATTATGTTCAGGAGATTATACATGGGAGTTTTCTAGATAGACTTAAAAATGGCACATACCATGTCCACTCAAACTCTGTCTAAATCACAGTCATATGATCCTAACCTAACTGCAAAAGGAGGCAAAAAAAGAAAAGAAAAAAGAAAACAACCCCTAAAAATATCTCCCTGTTTATCCAGGAAGAGGAAATGAGATTGGTGAGCATCAGGCCAGTTTCTGCCACATCCTGGTTGATCCTACTCATCTTCAAAGACTCAGCTTAAGTAACACTTTCTTACAAAGTCCTTTCAGCAATTCCAGCCTAAATTAGGCATTCCTCATATAGTCTATTGTAGTACTCTACAATTTTCCTTTATGGCACAATCGCAATGGAAATTTTACACTTCTTTATGTGGTCATTTAATATTTCTGTTCCTAGACTGTAGGATCTGCAAGAGCAAAATTGCACCTGTTTTGTTCCCACTGTGTCCCTGTTATTTTGTATGTAAACTAACATCTTAGTACTTGGTACATAATCGGTGTAAAAGTTGGTGTAACATCTAAACATCATAGTACCTGGCACATAATTGGTATAAAAGTTGTTGAGTGAACAAATGAACAATTGTTCACAGTCATTGCCTGGCTCCAAATAGCACGAGTGAGTAGGCAATGTGCTAAATGTTCCAGGCAGGTAAAACCAGGGAGCTGTGACAGCATCCTGAAAGGGCTTCGAACACTTCTGTGCTTTCTCTTTCTTCGCAATCTAACTTAGGAGTGTGCAAACTATGGCCTGGAGGCCAAATTGGCTCATTGCCTGTTCTTTAATGTCCCATGAGCTAAGAATTTTTTTTATGTTTTGAAATGACTGAAAAAAGAATTAAAATAATAATACACTGAGACATGTGAAAATGTGAAATTCAAGTTTCTATGTCCATAAAAGTGTTACTGGAACACAGCTGTTTTATTGTCTATGACTGTTTTCCAGCTAAGTGGTGGAGTCATAAATGAGAACATAAGGCCCACAAAGCCTAAAATACTCACTACCTAGCCTTTACAAGAAAATACACTTGCGATCCCCAATCTAATCAATACTTAGTTGAAAAGATCACTTTTACGAAAATTATGTCCAAATGTGCATCAAGCCTTTCCTTACCCCACTCTCACTTCTGCTACAGGATATCAGACCCTACTCCTTCTATCCTTGCAACAGTCTTCTTTGCCTGCTCTCGTTCTGTTCTTCCTTTCAGTCTATTCTTCTCTCTATAATCAAAGCTAACTCCCAGGAGAACAGCTTTATAGCCGTAACTATTTGAGACTTCCCCTTGCATACTAAATAAAATCTATAGTTTAGCATAGCGCTCTAGGTTCTCCACTACCTTACTATGCCTTGCTTTTCAGCCTTTTCTCTTACATCATACTTCATCCAGCTTTATCAATCACTTCAAAACCCCTGCCTTCTCCCCTCTAGGCCTATGCTTAGTTATCAGCTCTGCATGAAATATCTGGTGTTTCTGCCTTACCCATCTTTTAGTTGGTTATCTCGACTGCCTCATTCCCCGAGAATACTGTCTTTGTGCCACTTTAACCGTACTCTATTATTTCGAATTCTGCTTTATAGTTTCCTGTGTTTACACATGGGCTGCCGGTTTCTCACGTCTCCCTGAAAGTTGCTTGTGTTGTATTCTATTTATTAACCTCTGCCTCTTTTCGGCGCCCAGGAAGAGTGGTTTAAAAATTTTAGTTTTTCAAAATTAATCACGAGGAGCAGGGACTGTGCACTTTTGTGATACCTAGAAATGATCTATAGTTAAGCACAAGGTCCGCTTTACTTGCTTAGGGCTGACTAGAGCGAGTAACACCTTTTTTAAGGCATTCCGCTCTCAGCCCTCAGTCCTCAGGCGGTCATACACCTGTGGCTCGCTGCCGGGGACCCTCGGATTTGATTGCAAAAACACGTGGGTGACAAGCGCATCTCCAGGTCCCTCCTCTGTCTATGGTGATCGGCAGACCACAGGATCCAATCATCCCTCCCCGCCTCTTTCAGCAGTAACCAATCACAGATCCCGAGCGCCTCCTGACTACTAGATACTGTTTACTAACAGATCGAAGCCGGGGAATAAGTGGTGTGACCCTTCTACGGAGGTCAGTAAGGGAAGGCCGTGACTGCGCGTGCGCATTAAAGGGAGGAGGCGGGGTAGAACCTTGATTCTCACCAATCGGAGTGGCCGCGCTCCTCCCTCTCCTGCCTCCCCGCCAAGCAACAACAATTTGAGGAGTGGGGCGGGGCGGCTCGTGAAACGTCAGAACACATTGTCCAATAGGGGCCGGCAAAGGCAGACACGCGCGCGCCCTGCGCCCAATGAACGATGGCCGCTAGAATGGTTCCTCTACCTTGCTGGCTGTAGGCGGAGCGGCCTGGAGGAGGAGGCGGAGGAGCAGGGGGCGGCTTGGTTGCGCGGTACTAGCGGTGCCCGCCGAAGGGGGAGGAGGCGGAGGAGCGAGCAGTGCGGCCAGAGCGGGAAAGCGACTCGTCTCTGCGTCCGAGTTGTGGAGCCGCCGCACCCGGGCTTCTGGGGCTGCGGCAGGGACTGTGAGGTGACGGGCGTCCGCTGTCTCCCGGGTTCCCCTCGGAGCGACCCGCGGGATCGCAAAAAGGGAGAAGATGGAGGAGAAGGGCGGCAGCAGCAGCGGCAGCGGCGACGTGGGGACCAGCGGGGACGGCGGCGACAGCGGCGAGCAGCTCCTTACTGTCAAGCACGAGCTGCGGACCGGTGAGCGGCCCCGCCCTCTGCCGGCCGGGCCCGGGCACGGGGGCGCGCCCTGAGGGCACGGGGGGCTGGCGGACGG